TGTGTGTTTCTCTGGGCCTGACAATTCACTTAGACATGAAATAACTGTGTGAAAGGTTAAAGTCCTCATAAGTTATGTAAACCCGATAATGTCCCTAAAAAAATCAGATGTGATCAAAAGTTTGCTCGAGCTAAAATCTCAATAGTTGAATGTTTTCCTGAATGCATGGATAGGAAACTCTGGGATTCTCAGACCTGTAGAACCTTTGGAAAAACACGTCCCCATTTGTCCTATTTCCATAATACGTCCTTATATATACTGAAAACGTGTGTGTATATATGTGTGTGTATGTGTGTTTAAAACTCTAATTTTAAGCAGCAAAGGACAGAGAGTCCTTCAGCTCATCCACAATAATAAAACCACAGAAAAATGACAATTGAAACTAAATAACAACCAGTAGACATGAGCAGAAGAGATCAGAGTAACTCAGAAAAAGGACGGAATGTGATGACCAGAGCAAAACTGGGGTCTGGTTGGTATCCGAGTCCACGGGAAAGAGAGCTGGATTATTTGGTCCCGGATAAATACCAAACCCTGTTCAGCCCCCCGGGGGTTAAAGTCGGTGGTCAGGAGTCGTAAAGTTTGTGTCTCGGATCCTATTTGAGGCTTTGTGTTGCCGTTATGTTCAGAGAAACTCAGGAGGCAAAAGCGACGTCCTGCTGCCTCACAGTTCGTTTCATTTTCTGCCTCTGTGGCCATTTGGTTTTATAGCTACCAAAGAGAAGAAGGTTTATTATATAGAAAACAAAAGGCTTAAAAAAAAAAGACCCAAAGAGGTGGAAGTATATCGCCCTTCTCCTCCTGTAGAGACTCTCCAGTGTGTCATTTCCATGTTTTCCGTCAGATTCCATTAAAAGAAAAAAAAATCCTATAGGAATAGTCAGTCATGTTTGAAAAAGAAATGGCTGAAACAGGACACTTATACCATGGATAAATGGGCATTTCTAAGTAGAAACATCATAATTCTGATGATATATGACCCCTTGTTTCATGCAGATACAATGATAATAAAGTAGCGCACAATGTGATGTTCATGAACGGTCCATGTAAGCACATTTGGTTTCAATTAAGACTAAAGAAAAGCAGCTTCTTATCGCTTAGTTTGGTTAATTTTAGTCTATGACTCGGATTCTTCTGCCCCCCAAACATTATAGGACGCCCTAAAAAACACCAGGGTAACCCAGAGGACCAAAGCAGACCAGAACCAGTCAGGAAATAGTGTCTATTTTTTCCTCTTTAAGGCTCATTGGGACCAGAATAACCCTGAAGTGTCTGATAAATGCCTTTTCCACTCACAGTCCTTTGTGTCCCAGTCCTCTACCACTCACAATTAAACAACCATTTCTAATTAGATTGGTCCTTTCTGAGGTGACGTTTCATCCTATATTTGTTTTTCCACTGTGTGTGTTTCCGGCAAATGATCAGATTAAATCATATAATGAGCTTATTCGTTTTACTTGTATGTGAATTCCACTTGGGATACTCGGCTGTTATTTCCCAGAAACGTTTCACCTCGAGCCCCGTTTGTTAGGACTGTGTTCACCACAGGGTCCATTTAGGGGCACAAATATCAGCGTTGTGTCTAATAATTACAAAAAGCATCTCGGGAACAACGTCACACACGTTTGAGTTTCGAGGAAAAATCTCCCCAAAGTCTCTGCGTCTTTCCGAGTCGTGAGTTGTCTTTTTTAGCCATAAAAAAACGTATTTAAAGCTTCATTAAAGCCAAACGGCCAATTAAAGTGGACGTGTGGGGCCTGTTTATGTGTGTGGGACAGGCTCATTAAACAGGAGTCTTTAATGATAGCTTTTTTTTTTTGTGTGGGAGGAACATTTCTAACCTCCACCTCAATTAAGACCTGGACGTGGAACACCTTTTGGAAACCCCCCCCAGTCCTGGTGACTCCGGGGGGGCTTTGGGAGTTTGGTTTTGAGATGAGACGAGCCGGAAAAGAGAGAGAGAGAACCGGGTGGCGTTTTTTTAACCCTGTAATGCCAAATGTATCATATTTGATACATACGGTTTCTGAAATGTTTTGCATCTGACTCCTTTTGCATAATTTAATAGTAAAAACTTTGCTCAAAATCCTATTGTACACAATCAGATACACCTGATAACAGGGGGCAGAAGACCACACAAAAAATAATCTGGACTTATAAATTATTAATAATAAAAATGTACTTCTGTTTTTTCTTTTTACATATTTTGTTAAAAGGCCAAACAAGGAATTCAAACCCAAAAAAAGTCATTTTCTGTTTTCTTTTATTCTAGGATCAGGATTTAAAGGGTTAATTGGGTCAGAAAACACCCAGAGACCCATTTAAGGGGAGAGTTTGATTAATTGATTAAACATTGATGCGTAAAGTGTAAATTAAACCATGAAAGAACCAATACAGACATAGATTTTTGCCTTTTGTGTGATTTTCTGTTAGCAGCCGTGAATGTGGCTGTTGGTGGTTCGTTTTTGTCCTTTAAACCGGCCGTGTGTTTTTATTGTTGCAGATTTTATTCATGAACAAGATCGACCTTTTTCAAGACAAGATTTTGCACAGCGGACGGCACCTGCGGCTCTACCTGCCCGAGTTCAAAGGTACGATCAGAGAAACGCTTCCAGAGAAGTTCAGGCTTATCGTCCTCCATCCAGATCACAATAAACATTTTAGGATGAACGTTTTAGACCCAAAATACAGCCCTTAAATCATCACATTTAAGTCTGATAGAGCTGAACTTTCTTCTTGACGAGATGATGTTAAATGTTTCTATTTTCCGCTTTTTTTACACACAAAATGGATTTAAAAAATAAGAAAATATCATTTAAAAGCCATTTAATCAACCAAATGGTCAGGACTTAAGTCTCGATGTTCTGAGAATGAATCTTAGCTACTAAATGATGTTGATATAAGCTCAGACATGGAGCTCTGAACTCTTTTTAAACTGGATGCACATTTATCTCATAATGGCTGTTTCCTATCCACATTTAAGGGTTTCTTAAACGACACCTAGTTGTAATTCAGAAATTATTTATTCAATCTCAAAAGGCAGCAAAGAGAAAGATCTGCTAATTTTCATTCCATACATTAGAGTTTTCTATATAATCTTACAATATATACTATATAAAATACTATAATATATAATCTTCTGATAGACAAGCAGTCAGTTTAAGAGAAGAGAAATAGTTTTTCCATCCAAAACACCTGGAACCCCAAAGTCCTGCTGCTTATTTCCCACCAAAATATCAACGAAAACTCAGTAAAAATGGGTTAAAAAAATAAATAGGCACCTATTTATATCTAAATAATCAAGTTTAACTGTATTAGATTTGGAAAATTTGCTGGAGGATCAAACATGGCTGACATGAACATAAATGTGTTTTTTTTCATCATGGTAAAACCAACAAAAACTGGTTTGGCAGCTTTCAAACCAAAAACAGACGCAAGCTTCTGTTTTGGGATTTCTTTCTTCTTTCTGTGTGTTCAGAGCAAATCTGCCCAAATATCAGTTTCTGCGTGTCTCTGCTCTCATGCAGATTTGAATAAGAAACGCTAACCGGCTTTGATTGGGGTCATTCAGCAGGGCAGACGGACGATTAGAGCCTTTATTCTGCAGAAACTCTGATTTTAAACCGTCTAATTTCACTTCTCTGCTTAAACTTTGATGGAAAGAAACATGTTCAGAGTTTTTAAATCATAAACAGACTAAAGAAACTGCAGGCTAAAATGTTTTAGCTTCTCATTTTGTATTCTTTTTGTAAATCAAGCACAAATATTCTACTTTAAACACATTTATTCCAGACACAATCCCCCTTTAAGAACGTTTTTCAGTTTAGTTTTCCAGCTGTTTTTATTTTGCCGAATGCAAAGTTTAGGAGTGTTTTCACAAATTTCCAATGAAAAGGGTTGATATCTTTACACCTTTGGACTAAAACAGAAATATTGAAACATTTATCAGGCAAAACCTCCGTTAGTTTGTTACAGATTATAAGTAAGAAGACAATTTTCAGTTATTTAATTTAAATTTTTTTTATTTTACATTCACTCCATAAGTTCTCATTATACTTTTGTTGCCTTCAGAGAGAATCTACGATGTAAATAAAACAAACTGTTCAATGAGAAGGTGTCATCCACCATTTTTAACCACTTTAAACTTATCTGATGACCATTAAGTCCAAAGTAGCCCAGAAACACCTTTAAAAAAACAGGACAAGGGAAAATGTTTATTTACTCAGAGAAGACTGAAATAAGCAACAAAAAAAAAAGTGGAGCTTTTAACTAACAATACCATCGATAGACGTTTTTCTGGGTAAAGAAAAGCCCTTCGAGTCACTTGATTTATGCAGATCTGACATTTACACCTGAATATTATGAGCAACTTTATGGGCTTTAATCTCTATTAAAGCCAACTTTTGGAAAGTTTGCAGACAAATGAAGAGCTGCGGCGTGCTTAATGAAAAGCTGTTTGTCTTTGCAAGGAAAATACAAAGAAAAAACAAAGAAAACACAGTTGTGAGCGTCCACAAGAGGAAAAAGAAAGAGCTCCTCTGGAGGATTAGCTGCAGTTTTCGGAGGCCGAGTCGAGTCAGTTTAATCTTTTCCTGATTGGATGTGATTTGGGTGAAAAGTCGGTTCCACATCTCCGTCATTTTTGGGCATTAGTTTGACTTTTATGGATTTTTACCAAATCCGTCACCACATTCAAATGATCTAAATGTGATTATAAAGCAGAAACCAATCCCAACTATCATAAAATTCCTCAATTTTTACAGTCCTGGTCTTTCATATGTGCGATAATCTGACTTTTATATTAATATATCAACGGTTTAAGATCATAAAAACTCAAAGGATCTGATGCAAAGCGCAGAAATACTTTGGATTTGAGATGTTTTGTGCAATCAAACCCCTTAAATCCTGAATGCACCAGTGTAAACTTACAGAATAAGTCTGTAATGGTGGGTTTGATTTGACTAAATTAAATAAATGAAATAATTTTCCTCTGGGATTATTAAAGTATTTCTGATTCTGATTCTGATTCTGACTAGTTTTGTCCCGATCCAATATTTTAAAAAAACTGCATATCGGCCGGCAGGAGAAAATGCAGATCCAGACTCCAGATCCAGTTTTTTTTTTTAAGGTCCGATCCCACATTAGCATTAGCATTAGCATTAGCATCTCCTAACCCACAGGTCTGTGTCCTAACCATTAAGTTGTAATCAGAGTAAATCCCTGTTCAACATGAGTCTGACAACTAAGTAAGTAGATAAATAACTTTGAACTTTAATAAATGCTCTGATAGGCCGGGATCGGATCGGAAGTTTAAAAAGCTGGATCTTAGTCTGAATAATAATCCGGTAAATGTGTCTCTGGATGGGGGGTTCAGCTCCTGCTGGTTTGGGGACCTTGTGGGGTTCCTCAGGTTGCTGTTACCGTGGTAACGGCTCTCTCCCCCCCCCCAGGCGCCGACTGTGACGTGGACTCGGCCGCCCGCTTCCTGGCCGGCGCCTTCGTTTCGCTCAACAAAGCGCCCGAACGGCTGGTGTACCACCACTTCACCACGGCAACCGACACCTCCAACGTCCAGGTCGTCTTCCAGGTCGTCATGGACACCATCATCAAAGAGAACCTGGAGGCCGTCTCGCTCCTGTAGAGCCTCCACCCGCCCAGAACTGACTCCACCCGCCCCAAACAGCCTCCACCCGCCTCCACCCGCCTCCCCCCG